AGAACTTTACTGCAACAAAGATTTGAATGAAAGAGCTGTCCATAATGAATTGCGATCTCCTCTAGAATCTCTAATGATTTGCACAAACACTGACATCTTCCCTTATCAACTCACTAATATCGTTTCTTCTTCTCTTTTGAATTGTGCTAGAGTGGAAGAACTTGGTATTCTTGTCATCCTCCTTTAACCAGAGGGCTCGAGTTTTATCTTTCCAGAATATTTCCTCATCTTTATAAGCAACATCTAAATCCTCCTTGATCTTTCTACAATAATTACAATCCCTACTTCCTCTTTCTTTGCTCAAATTTTCAAGTTCTTATTTGCACTGCTCTATTCTCTTTGCAATATTGGTTTGACAACTCCCTTTCCACTTTAACAACTCAGTCCTGTAATTTTTTATTTTACTTTGTATCTGAGATAAAGGATACCATGAAACCCTATTACCCCAAGATGCCCCATTGCATTCTTTGACCCATGTTTTCTCAACCCACATTTTATAAAACCAAAACCTCCTTCTAGTTTTTTTCCAATTTTTGTGATTAGATGATGATGTAAAAACATGTTGCACCACACTTTCTAGATATTTCAATAACCAACCTGGAGATAAATTTTTTTTTTAAAAAAAAAAACACACACAGATACACACACACACATATTTGTCTAGTCTTTCCTCTACAAACTCCCCTCTTGCCTCAAATTACTCCATGTAAAAGGATGGACTTTAAAAAGTACTTCATACATATGTATATCTCTCACAAAGTTTTTAAAATCATTATAGTTCCCAAGGGATTTGTTTATGCCTCCGATGTTTTCTTTATTGCACAGTAGGTCATTAACCCCCCTCCCACCCTGAGCACCACAAATCACCCCACTTTTCCCTTTCATTCACCAAAAAACTCCACCAAACATTTATGGCCCCACTATCCACACTAGCATGAACAAAGATCACCCACAAAACTGCATCTCACCCTTCCAACCTACATTTAACTTCAATACAGAATTGGTGCTTACAATATGTTCCAACACTACCTTATAAACCTCCACAATTCTACCTCATTATCCTCATTCAGACACTAGGTCCCATTTCTTGTTGGAGTCCATCACCATTTAACTGATATGGACTTCTGAATTATCTTTTCTTTCTAACTTTTGTTATTTGTAACTTTCTGAGGCAAACAACTCTGCATCTTCACTATCCTGACTCCTCCTTTTGAGACTCCTTCTCAGGGTTTTTTTTTTCTCATTTTTTTTCTTTTTTTTATCCTCTTCCTTATGTAGTCCCTTTCATCAAAACCCATTCTCTAGATATTTCTAATTCCATATCCCCTACTCCCATTCCCTCGAATTTTCTACCTCTTTCACTGCAAATTTCTCCTTATGTAGTGCGATTCCCACATTTTTCTCTTTTGATAGTTCAAACTTTTGAAATTTCTCCACCAGATCCATACTAAAGACACCCCACCTCTCCAAGATAAAGACTTGGAAGAGCCACCCACCAAAAACAAAAACCCTGGAGAAAAAATAATAGAGGTTTCCAATAGATGCTAAGCAAAAACTAAAGGCCAGGAAAACTAGTAAAAGCTCAAAGAAACCTAACCTAGACCAGCAGGAGCAGAAAACCCAAAACTCTAAAATGCAGATGACCTACCAAATTAATGAAACCTACAAGAAATGCAAGTGAAACATCAAATTAAGAAAAAGCCTAACAAAACCAAGGAAAACGAAGAAGAAAAACACAAAAGTGTGTCTAACTAGTTGGAATTTTTCTTTTACATCAGATCACGGAATCTTGAGATAAGAACTAGGTTTTATTATTTTTTCCTGAGCATTTTGAGTTCGTCTATTCTATGAGAATTCGTGAGATTGTTGATTATATTTTATAATTTCTGAATTCAAGATTTCAATTTTGTGTTCTTACATCTCTGAAAGATTGAAGCATATGACCATTATACTTTTGGATATTTTCAGCTTAGAGTGATTCTTATAATAGTTTTTTGTCTACATTGTGGTTAGGAAAGTAGTTAGTGAGATCAGGAATAGTTGTGGTACGTTTAGAAAGGAGTTATTCGATAATATTGGAACGATAAAAAAAAAAGATTAGCATGACCCTACGTAAGAATGACACGCATAAATCAAGAAATAGAAGGGAGTTCTTTTTTTGTAATTCCAAACTATATACTGCACGAGGCAACTGATTTGCTAATGAAAGAGTTTTGGGTTTCACTTATCTTTTTTGTTCTTACACATATTGTGCACTTTATTTGTCGACCCATTTTTTCAGTACTCATGATGCCTCCATTATCCGTGCAGTTACCACTCAAAAATCAAGAAGGGAATAACATAGGTACTTCTGCTAATTATTTTAACATGTGTGTTTTTTTTTTTAATTATTATTATTATTATTAACATGTACTCATGAAATAGAATCTCAAGTGACAGGTAGCGGAAAGAGAGGAAGTACATGTAAGAGGATACCTTATCTCGTGACATATCTAATGTTCTTATGCGGATGTACACATCTATTAAAAATAAATAAATCATTAATACATAGTTTCCATATAACTAGGCTTCCAATTTAGGTTTGTTTTAGTCAATTCACAATTTTTTATTTACATTAATAATTGTTTTGTAGGCAAAGATTATGTAAATAATTAGGCAACCAATTTTGGAATTCTCATTTATGAAAGATTCTTTTTTATTTTAGCAGATTTATTAGAATCATTAATTTAGATTAGCATATATGTTATATACACAAAAAATAATTTTGGAGATTCTTTTTTATTTTAGCAGATTTATTAGAATCATTAATTTAGATTAGCATATATGTTATATACACAAAAAATAATTTTGGATTTTTAAAATTCCCATTTATAGAGGATTCTTTTTTTTTATCATATTAATTAAAATCAACAATTTAGATTGATATATGTGTTATACGGAAATGCTCACATACACAAAATAAAATTTTATAGAATTATTTAAATTTGTTTAGACCATCTCCAGCCCTTATCTCTACTCTAGCACAGATTTTATTCTACTCTACAGTAGAGTTAAACATTCATCTCCACACATACACAAAATAAAATTTTATAGAATTATTTAAATTTGTTTAGACCATCTCCAGCCCTTATCTCTACTCTAGCACAGATTTTATTCTACTCTACAGTAGAGTTAAACATTCATCTCCAGCCCTTATCTCTACATTTTACTCTACATCAAATATATTTTTTTATTATTTATTTTTTATTTCAAATAAATTGGTATATATATGTATATTCAATATTATATTATATAAATATTTATTATCCAATAATAAGAATATATTTATTTATTTTTATTTGAAATGAATTAGTATATAACTTTATATATGTATCTTTAATTTTATAAAAACTGTATAATTAATATTATGTTGTTTTTATTTGTGTATTTTATGATTTACGTTTGTTGTAAACTTTTAATTTTAATGAAATCTACTTGTTTGAATGTGTTAAAATTTTTATTCATATGGTACTATTTTAATATTAAAAAATTGCAAAATAAAATTATAATACATCAACAAATAAAAAGCACAAAATGGTACCATTTTAATATTATACCACGTATTTTTCTGTTATAGATAAATTTGTTAAATCAATATGTGTATTATGTTGAAAATATATGTGGTAAATTTATATTCATATGTACTACTAAATTTACAAAATAAAAGTAAAATACATCTACAAATAAGATTACCAAATTATTTAACACAAATATTCTACTAATACATATTTTACACAAAATTATGAATGATATAAAAAAAAAAAAAAAAAAAAAACCTAGCGTTGAACTATAGTGCATCGCCACATGTGGCGATGCACTATTCACATCTCTAGAGTGGCGCCAGTTTCTAGCGCAACATTGGAGGAAAAATTGTCACACAACTCTAAAGAAATAAAAGAAGTGGCGCAGCATTGGAGAAAGCCTTATGAAGGAATGGTTTGTTATGAGATATATACAAATCCCCCTTTTACGGTGAGACGTACACAAATCTCTTTTTATGGTATTTTTTTTTACAAATGTTTTTAAAAACAAATTTTTCAAAATTTTTATATAGTAAATATATTTCTATTTTTCTTATTCACAAAATATAAATACATTATGCAAATTCTATATTTATATATATGAATCTATTATATAAAAAGTTTCATACATATATAATAAGACAATTGTCAACTAAAAATTTTTCTATGCAAAATCTATTTTTCTATGTATATAAATCTACTATATAAAAAGTTTCATATATATAATAGGGCAGTTGTCTGGTTAAAAATTGTTCAACTTAAAAAATTAGCATGAGTTAATGTCTAATTACTAATGTTTTAATATTTATATCATAAGATGTAATATCTAATGTTTTGCATGTTGTAATATATATTATTCATGCATATTTTGTCAGTAATACACATTATTAACGTATATAATTACTAATATTTTCTATCTGTAATACATATTAGTCACATGTAATATTTTATATATTTTTAAACATGTTATTTGGGCAAATTTCTTACACATCCTATAGATTAAGATATATATATATATATATGTATATATATTTGTGTGTGTGTTAAACTTAAGTGTTTTTAAACATGTTTACTTACAAAATAATTTAGAAAAGCTTTCGGTGGCCTCACATTTTTAAAATAATATATAATAATTTTGATAATCTTACATATGTTATATAATATTTTATGCGTTTTTAATATTTAAAAACATACATATTTAATGTTCTTTTATATAATTAAAAAATATAAAAATATTAGTCAATATTATTTAGCTAACAAATATAATCGATACTAAAATGATAAACTAATAGCATTTGTCGAACTGACATGTAAATTGTCATATGATAAATAATTCCTTCCGACCTTAGGTTTCAATTTTAAGTTCCAGCGACACAAGTTCTTACTTATAGTTTTGTATGTATGATGATAAAGAAGGGTCCATTTTCAGTCATGACCAATTATATGTTGTTGTTTCATGTGTAAGTAATAGAAAGTAGTTGAAAAAATTCTTAACTATATGTTGTTGTTTCGTGTGTAAGTAATAGAAATGAGTTGAAAATATTATTTTGTGCGACGACGAGTTGCCAAGTAATCAAACTAATAATATTGTGTACAAGTAGATTTTTAACAATATATTATTTTTTCTTGAAGAATATTTTTATGATTTGATAATTTTTCTACGTATTATCACCATTTTATTTATTAATACACTTCAATTTATAATATTATCACTCTTTTACCTATTAATACACTTCAATTTATAATATATCCTAAAAAATTACAGCTCGTGCATCGCATGGGTTACGTACTAGTTTATATGTATTAAATTAATTTTTATATCATTCAAGTGTATCATATCTATATCTATATTCTATATAATGGACCAATCTTTATTGCCATAACTGGCATGATTTTGGGCGGGAAAGTTTTTCGTCTATATTTGGTACTTAATTAATATTTATCTATTAGCAAATCTTATGCATGAAAAATATAATTAATTTTTATGCACTCAATGACTAATATTCATTAACTATAAATTAACTTAAATTGAAAATTTGACCGTAGATTTATTAGATATATTTTCAATAAGATCTTATATTAATTTAATAGTAATTTATTGACACAGTTCAAAAAATCATTATAGAAATTGATTTGATTAAATATATTATTATCTATGGTTGTAGATATTAATATAATTAATTTTATTCACTATGCGAAACTACTTAAAATATTTAATAAAATAATCAGAATAACTATATTTAATCATACTAACTTAATAAATAATTTAAAATATTAATAAAAGTTTCTGAAATATAGTCAAATTAACTATTAAAAGGAATCTCCACTGAATATATCATTTGCAACTATAATACTCACTACAACAAAATGATGAAATTCCAACGAAAAATTCTAATACAAATATATTTTAATGGAATTCCAACGGAAATCATAACAAAAATGTTCCGTTGGAATAAGTTTTCCATTGGAAATTCTGTTGGATGTTGACGATTCCAATGGTATATTTTCCAATGGAGGTGGAAATAAAAATTTCAACGGAAATTTCTATGGTAAAAAACTGTTGAAAAAATAGTCGTTGTAATCATCAAATTTCATCTAAAATTCCAATGAAAAAGTCATTCCAAAGCAATATTTTCGTTAGAATTTATGTTAGAATCATTCCAACAAAAGTTATACCATTGGAATATCCGTTGGAATTTTCGTTGGAATATATTACCGTAGGATTTCTCGTTAGAATATAACAATTTTCTTGTAGTGACTATTGGAAATTAAAATAATATATTAAATTTTGATGTTCGGATGCAATTCGGAATTTTAAATTTCACCTTAGAGATATCTATGTACATTAAAATTTAAGAATGATTTTTTAACAAGCACCCATGTAATACACGAGTGTTGTACTAGTATCATATTATTACTAAATAGAATATTGTGAATAATATAATTTCATATTATTTTAAATAATTTTATAATATATAAATAATAAAAAAAAACTGTATTATACCCCGTGCATCCGCACTTGTATCAACGCTAGTTTAAAGTGTGCTCCTTTTATTCTATAATTATGACCATACTTAACTGGAGATTTTAATGGTTATTATAATGTGAATGCATATTTATATCTGGAACGCAATAATACAATTTTGCTATAACTTATAAGTTAATCCAATAACATGTAAATGGGGCAATCATATTGTTATCTATAAATAGTATTTAAACATGTATTGCAAAATAATGCATTTGAACCAACTGCTAGATCCTTACAAAAGGCTTATTATAAACTAAATTATTAGTTGTGTCCTTAATAAAACGTAATAAAATTTTGATTACAACTTCATTAGAATTATTATTATTATTATTATTATTATTATTATTATTATTATTATTATTATTATTATTATTATTGTTGTTGTTGTTGTTGTTCGCACTTGGGATAGTGGGGTAATTTTCGAGTGCGTACTTTTTTTTTAGAAAAAATAATCCCTATGACTAGATCAAAGGGTAGTCTAATTATAAAATTGACTGATATAGTGAGTTTATCCATTATCCAATCAACAGCTGGCTTCGATCTACATAGTTTAGGTGTTGACTCTTGATCTGCTTGTTTCATTATTGACTCCCAATTTGTAAATATACTAATTACAAGTGGCATCTAATATGAACCTTCCAAAATATAGGGGCCGTATTACTATTTGAGTAAAGGCCACCTAATTAATTGGCTTTCCTTGTTTAGAAACGTGTGGTTTCGGGTCCATTTTTCAGCACGAAACCAGAAACCCGAGTAGAGTATCCAATCCGTTGGCTGTTGTGGTTTAGTCCAAGCCCACAAGCCACGTGGAGGAGGCCCACAGTGGTGGTCCAGGTGGCTCTATTGTGTTGACGGCGGGCAATAATTATAATTGATTATTAACAAACATAATTGATTATTAACTATTTAATTGATTGTTAAATGTGAAATTGACATTTCTCAAGCATGTTTAGAAATAAATTTTTGTACATAAGGAAGTAACTTACACCTAGAACTGTCCATCGAGCCAAAAAAAACAAAGGTCAAGATATTCACTAATTGGGCCTAAAAGACATTAAGAAATCAGTTCAAAAAATCTGCTGACAATTCACACCGATCCATCTCGAAATTATCGATCCATCTTCATATATTCCTCCCGATGAACGACTATCACCTATGTGTGAACGGCGAATTGATAAAGCTTAAGCTTATTCTGATAAAACAATCGTCCATTTAGTCTCATCATCAAAAGACGAGTATTGCATGAGGACATGTGGCGCTTCCCCACGCCATTAGCTAGCGTTTTAGCATTTCTTGCATTC